CAGCAGTGTGTGCTTTCAGCATGGATGACATTGAGAAAGTCTTCAAAGGGAGATTTAAAGAACAGAAGACTCCTGACTCTGTTTGGACAGCTGTACCTGAAGACAAAGTACCAAAGCCAAGGTAAAAGGTTCTTACTCATGGTGCCATAATATTGTCTTTGTGATTAGCAGGCTGCCTTCTCTCATTAGCTAAAATACCAAGAGGAAAACAATGTTGTTCTCCTTTCAGACCTGGCTGCTGTGCAAAACATGGCCTAGCAGAGGCTTACAAAACCTCCATTGATTTCCCAGACGAAACACTCTCCTTCATCAAATCTCATCCTTTGATGGATTCAGCTGTTCCCTCAGTCGTTGAGGAGCCCTGGTTTACCAAAACACGTGTCAGGTATGACACAGTTCAAAAATAATGTGTGTGAAAAGGAAAACAAGAAAACGTGCTCTTAATGATATGCCTTTTGGTCTTGATAGGTACAGATTGACAGCAATTGCTGTAGACCATGCTGCTGGACCTTACCAGAACTATACAGTCATATTTGTTGGCTCCGAAGCAGGAGTAGTACTTAAAATCTTGGCAAAGACCAGGCCTTTTTCTTTGAATGACAGCATATTACTGGAAGAGATTGAAGCATATAATCATGCAAAGTAAGTGTTATCAGAACACCTAAGCTCTTCATCTAGTCCTTGGTAGCTAGCTAAAAAAAATTACGGTAAACGAAAACCAACTCATTATCACCAACATCACCACTTGTTTGTCATTTCACGGTGTTCCTCATGTTGAAGAACCTGAAAATACTTGGTCACTTGCCATTTTGCATGGGTTGAGTGAACAACCTAATTCCACTCCAGTGACGTCAGTGACACAGTCTAATTCTTCCGCAAATAGATACACTTCTTGAATATGAAACGTCAGAACTATCTGCTGCTGTTAAAAAGAAATGATGTGAGCTTATCTTGGGGGTTTCTCAAGAGTGACCAATAATGTATAAACTATGTCTAGTCATTTTAAACTTGTTTATTCTGTGCAAAGAATTTGGGAATGGAAGTCCAATACAGGACTCCTGTTCTGCTCTGTCGAGATATTTATGCCGACTGAGAGAACAAAGAAAGTGGATTTGGATTTTTTTTCTACATAGATCAGCAAAATTGTCACCTAGCTGTAAATAAGAGCCAGAAGCTCTTGATAACCCATAGGTTTGTTTAGAAATCACTCAGCAAAGACTGGTAAGTTACATTTATATATGTAAAAAGTCTCTTTTCCGTATCTACACAAACAATAAATAAATAAAATGTTTGCAGTGTAAGCGCTGCACAAAGTACTACAGTTACTAAAATAATGGCCTCCCCTTCTTTTGCTGAACAGGTGTAATGCTGAGAGCGAGGAGGACAGAAGAGTCATTTCCCTTCAGCTGGATAGAGACCACCATGCTCTGTTCGTGGCATTCTCCAGCTGCGTCATTAGAATTCCTCTGAGTCGGTGTGAGCGTCATGGTTCATGTAAAAAGTACGGCCCCATTCCTGAACTCCCCCTTAAAGGACAGGCACCAACATTTCTTGGGAAGGAAGTAAAAAATGCATGATTTTGTGGGGTTTTTCTCTTGCAAGGGCATGTATTGCTTCACGGGACCCATACTGTGGCTGGTTAGACCACGAGGTGTGTGGAAGAGTGGCACCAGGCATGCTGTAAGTACTGCTTTTCAAATAAGCCCAGCATCTCTACATATGCTTTATAGACCACATGAGCTCATATCCTATGCCTGTTCCCTTGCACTCAATAAATCTCCATTTTTTTTTTTAGGGGTGGTTTTTCAGTGTACTGTATATGTAAGAGAACAGAATGCTAAAATCTCACCTAATTCTGCAATCTCTAGGTGAAGACTTGCTTTCAGTGGGAGTTTTACATGGGGGAGGGGGACAAGCAGACCTGTAGGAAGAGCGGTTGGAAGCAGGAAGGCAAGAAATTGCTCCCTGCAAACCTGAGCAGCTCAGAGAGGGCAGTACTCAGTATCCCCTCCCAGGCGTGCTCATGGCCAGGGCACAGTCAATTGCAAATATGAAAGCACAGGATTCACAGTGGGAAAAGAGTAAGATTTTGCCTTCACGCTGGAGGTTGAGTGAAATATATGCATACCAAAGGCATTTTGCACAAATCAAGTCTGTAATACATAGTGTGTTAGCAGCTGTATCTTAAAAAGAGGCCATTGTAGCAGGCCAGTGCAAACTTTAACTAGTATAATTGGACAGTTGTATCTAAAACCAAGGGCACACCCAATGTAGAAGACATGATGAAGTTGCTGAAAAAAGGGATTTCCCCCCCCACCATTTCCTGGCATAAGCACGTATATAGAGTTTTAAAGCCTGGTTGTAACTAACAATTTTTTTGGCCATATATTAGCTCTTGCGTATGTTTCCATTTGCTGCTTCCAGGAAAAAAAAAAAAAAAAAAAAATCACCATTTGTTTCCCTACTAATACTGTTAATTGCAGGTTCTCTTTGTTTGTTTCATACAACCACAGCACCAGAGGATATATACAAGATGTTGAATATGGCAGCACAGCGCAGCTTGGGGACTGCCATGGTAAGGCATAGTCATTGCTGCTCGTTTATAATGTCTCAACAGTAGTCTGCGGCCGCACCTCACTATAGATGTTAAATTTATGATGAGCTTTTCAGTAACATGATGAACACATCACCTGGTGTTACTGTGAACGTTCACAAAGCTGAGCTTTTTGGTCCTGGGTGGCAGAGTTTTGTCTTTCCTTCACCAGTTTTACAACTATTTGGGGTCTACAGCAAAGTACTGAAGAATTTATTTTTTGTAACCTGTAATATTTTAGTTTTTATTTTCCATTACTCAGGTTTGAGATCTTTTTTGCTTTCTTTTTGTTACTTTTTACTGATTACTTGTTCCTTTAATTCTTTTAGAAATTTTGCCTACTACAGCTACACCAGATTACAAAATATTTGGCGACCCAACATCTGGTTAGTTTTTTTTAATTTTTTTGAATTAATGACCTTTACTTTCCTTCAGTTCAGCATTTTCAGCCCTTTTTTCCTTCCTTTTGCACAGTTGGCAATCCTCCATTTTTGTGCTTTTACTCATGTTCCCACTGATGGTAAAGATAGTCAGACTCTTCTCACTCAGCACTTCACCCTGTGTAGCCGCATGTTAACAGCTCATTATTTATTGAGACATCTTTTATTAAAGAGCCTGATTAACATAGATGACATCTTCACTGCACGAAAGTCCACTAAGCTTTACTCTCTATACCCAGCCATGCATTTGTGAATGCCCCTATTGGTCATCTCTAGTAGATGAATGGCAGAATTTCATCATCTTCCTCCTTATCTCTCCTTTCCTCTTTTCCTTCTTTCCCAGCAAGCTTTTTGCACAAATACACATTTTCTAAAATGTGTATTTCTATATTTTTGAAATGTTTCAAGTAGTTTGTGCTAATGGAAAAAATTTAACATCACAAACCGTGTAGCTGAATGAGGACTTGTGTGGACAAAGGTGGCTTAGAAAAAACTTTATGCGTTGTTGTCAGATGGACTTTCACATCCTTTTCTCCTTCAGTGATTTTTCTAATAATGTTTTCACCGTCAGCCCCTGGTGTTCAGGAAGACAGGACCCAGTGCTCCTCTGTTGAACTCAAAAGCAGAACCTGTGTTGACTTCAACAGGAGCAAGACGGAGCCCTTATTTTCCAGTCTTTGCTCCCGGCACTTGGTCTCTGCTTTCAAACCAAGGGCACATTTCTGATTGACAAATATGAAAATAATCTATTTGTATGTTAAATTTGTAAGAGTGCAACAAGAACAAGAACATTATTTTGTGTTTTGGTTTCTGATGATATTTGCACTTCTGTAACTTGACAAGAAGTAACGTTTGAGACAAACATTTTCCAGATATATTTACCCATACTGTAAGTTAGAGACTCACTTAGAAAAGCGAAACAAATCAAAACTGTGTTACATGGAAATGCTACCTTGCTTGCATAAATGTTTACTTTATCAACTGAATTTCCAAAGTGGTATTTTAGGGCACAGATACAACTGAACCTTATTTTCAGGTCCTGAATGAGTGTGCTTTTGAAGTACATTTTTTCAGTCAGATCTCGAGCCATAGACATTCATGCCTAAGCCTCCTGGCACAGTGAACACAAAATACTTGAGTGTGCAAATTAGACTTTGGATTGTAAACCCAATTTTATGTGTTTCTTCCTCGTGTACTTTCACATAGGCTATGGTGATTCTGTTCAGCAAATGTACTACAGAGGAGCCAGAATCTATGCAACATTGTTCCTTAGGAAGCATTACAAAACAGGGGTTAAAAACATTCCTTTCATCCCCACCTGTAGAAATGGCTCATTCAGCAGTTCCTGGTATACCATAATAGCACTAATGGAGCTGATCTGGTTTCTCAGGTGTAACCTGTCATGAGTGTGTATCTTTCCATGTAACTTCTTTTTTTTTGAAGATGTTTAAAAGGCAGCCAAGTATGTTGTCGCCAGTGAAGAATATAGCAATTAAGTAGAATAAGTTGCGCTTTTCACCTCCACCAGTTGCTTACTTTAACTTTTGCACTGCTTTCCTGTTTGACTTCTCTGGCTTTTTGGCTAGCAGCTGTTGATGTTTTAATGTATTTTTTTAATACTTAAAGTTTTGAACCAAATGATTTTAATCAGTCCTCTGTACTTCTGCAGAGTGTAGGGGGTCACATTTTGCTCTGACATGTAACTCCCATTAAATACTGTCTCCAGCTATAGCTTAGATGTGCCATGAAACAGTGAGGAAGCCTGACTGTAATACACATTAATAAAAATCTGTTTGCCACCACAGACATGGAGTTCTCCTCAGCTTCCATTACCACAATGGCAAGTATCCCAGTTATATCACCTAAAGTGATTGGTTCCTGGAAACCTAAAGTGACTGGCTCTCGGAAATTTGTAGTTCAAGATGACCCAAACACTTCTGATTATTCTGATCCATTATCAGGTGTCCCAAAGGGTAAGGCCTTACCAGGGAATACATTGCAGCTGAATGGAAACCTGATAGTCTCAGCGTTGTCTAAGGCTTAAATGTAACAGCCGTGATTGTTGGGCTATATTTTACACCCATTTCCTGTGAATATGCAGACAGTGCAATCATGTTTTTCATACCTACTTATCCGGTGTACAAACTGCTGCTTAGAGCTTATAATGGGAAACACAGATAATAAGCTCAGCCTTTTATTCCTGGGGTGCTCCAAAGCTCTTATTAAAATCAGTGGGAGTTCTGGATGCATTAAAAAAAAATTACATTCAAGACTTACCTGCACCTCTGGAGGTTGTTTTCAAACCAGTCTAGTTTGGATAAGACTATTAGTCCTCATGAATGGTTGCTTACAAGAGCTTAATGTTTGGGGTTTGTTTGGTTTTTTCGTTTGGTTTGTGGGTGGGTTTTTTTGGGGGGGAGGGGGGATGGGGACGGGACAGAAAACAAAGCACAGCTCCATGATAGATCAATGCGTTAAATGGGACGTATCCCAAACTCTGCCTGCCTGCAGCATGTTTCTGAAGAACGTGGGTCAGATCTGAGTAAGGATGTGCTGAATTTTTATTCTCTGGATATGAGCATCAGTTTACAGATGACCTCAATACATAGAGAGACACACACAGGTTTTAAGCCAAAAACAAAAAGAAACATACTCTGCATGTAATTCATCTTTCTGTAGCCATTCTTTCAGCTACGTGAACCTTTGATTAGGCTCTTACGGCAACAAAGACTTTAATTCAGTAGGACTATTGTAGTCAAATAGTCAAAGAATCGAGAAGCTTCCAATCCCATAACCAAAACTTAACACAAGTCGTCGTCGGTACACAGAATAGTCAGGTGACAGACATGTTTGCACAATGCTGTATTTACTGAAAATCTCACCAGCCAAAAACCATCTCTGTTTTATTACCATTCACCAAAACATATCAGGTTTCCTATCAGCCATTATGGCAGTGCATTTGTCATTTTAATTTGTTGCAGTTATTTTCCGTTTTGCTTTAAGTTTTTGTTATCATATGCTCCTGGTTCTGAATCACATTTTGTGTCACAGCTATTAGTGAACTTTACTCATGTTTTCTTTCTTCTCCTGCACAGTGCCATTAAAACCTATAACCCTGAACATTAACAATGTTCAAAGGCCTTGCCTCTAACAAAAGTGAATCTGTTCCTTCCCTCTTGCTCTTTCATTTTAACATCCCTTGGGATAGTTAACAGAATTACTTTCATTAAAAACTAACATTGTCTTAGCTGCAAGATGTCTGTGGTTGCTTTCAAAATCTCAAAAAACAAAGGGAGCCTGTTAATACACAAATAAAAAACTAATCCAATATTTAACTTTTTGGTCTAAGCTAAAAGTTTTCTAAATTTTAACATTCTCTAATAACTTAAACTTGCAAGTTGTTTTTTTTTTAATGTTATGCAAGTATTTATGTTCATTATTGACTAAAGAAAAGAAAAATTAGTGCTCTAATAGAATGACATAATCTTGAACGTCAAAAATTGTACACATATAATGCAAGGTGTGCTACTCCAAGGCTAGCAACCTATGGATGTATTAGTTAACAAGTTTTGCACCATATTACATTAACATAACAATGCAGTATGTACATTGAACAGTTTTGCACGCCATTTGCATAATCCTGTCTCTCTTTTGATACTGATTTATGAGTTGGGCAGAAAATTGAGAGAGAAATCCATCTATGAGTTATTAATTGCTGTCTGGCTCAGTAGCACCTTCTAACCTCAATTTTCCAGCAGAAACTGTTAATGCTAATAGCATACAGGCCCCTATTTGTGAGCCTTAAAGGAAATTTGGGGCAGGCTAAACTGAACGTAGTACGAGGAGAGAAGCTTCGACAGGCATTCCTCATTATCAAAGAAAATAGTCTTCATTTAGACTGATCAATGCTCACACAGTCATTTTTAGTTATAAAATTATTTGCATTCACCAGTGCTGTGGATTGCAGGATCCAGCTGAGTTACACTAACACTAGACACAGAGCACTTACAAACACTTAATAGATATTTCCCTGAGGGAGGCTACCTTCTTCTGAAATGTACCAGTATGAAGTACATGTAGATTTATGCTATACTGCATGTCTTTTGCAGGTGTAAGGTGGGAAGTACAATCAGGAGAGTCCAACCAAATGGTACATATGAATGTTCTAATCACTTGTGTCTTTGCCGCTTTTGTCCTGGGAGCCTTTATTGCGGGAGTGGCCGTTTACTGTTACCGGGATATATTTGTACGGAAATCCAGAAAAATACACAAAGATGCAGAATCGGCTCAGTCCTGTACTGACTCCAGTGGGAGCTTTGCTAAACTGAATGGGCTATTTGATAGTCCCGTCAAGGAATATCAACAAAACATTGATTCACCCAAACTTTACACAAACCTGTTGACCAGCAGAAAGGAGTTGCCACCAAACGGTGATACGAAGTCCATGATGATGGACCACAGGGGTCAGCCTCCTGAATTAGCTGCGCTTCCAACTCCTGAATCTACACCAGTTCTTCAACAAAAGACTCTGCAGGCTATGAAAAGTCAGTCGGACAAAGCGCATAGTAACCTCAACGCTTCACGAAAGGAAACCCCACTAAAAAGCCCTCAGTTTTTTCCTTCCAGTCCTCCACCTCACTCTCCTCTAAGTCACGGACATATTCCTAGTGCTATCGTTCTACCCAATGCTACCCATGATTACAATACATCTTTCTCAAATTCTAATGCACACAAGGCAGACAAAAAGATGCAACATATTGATCATCCACTTACAAAACCATCCAGCAAAAGAGACCACAGGAGATCTGTTGATTCCAGAAACACCCTGAATGATTTTCTGAAACACTTAAATGAAACTACTAGTAATCCCAAAGCAATTATGGGAGATATTCAAGTGGCCCACCAGACTTTAATGCTGGATCCAGTGGGAAATATGTCTGAGATCCCACCTAAGGTTCCCAACAGGGAGGCATCTTTATACTCTCCTCCATCAACTCTTCCAAGAAACAGCCCCACAAAACGAGTGGACGTTCCCACCACTCCTGCAGTACCAATGACCTCTTTGGAAAGGCAGAGAGGTTATCACAAAAATTCTTCACAAAGGCATTCAATATCTGCCCTTCCTAAAAACTTAAACTCACCAAATGGTGTTTTGTTATCCAGACAGCCTAGTATTAATCGTGGGGGGTATATGCCTCCCACGGCAGGCACAAAGATGGACTACATGCAAGGGACGCCTGTCAGCGTTCACCTCCAGCCTTCCTTGTCCAGGCAAAGCAGTTACACGAGCAACGGCACCCTTCCTCGTGCAGGAATAAAGAGGACACCCTCCTTAAAACCCGATGTGCCACCAAAACCCTCATTCGTTCCTCAGACAACTTCAGTCAGACCACTGAACAAATACAGTTATTAGGACACGTCTGTGCTAAAAATGAGTGTGGCATTGACCTGTACAGGTTGTGAGATGATGTTGTGGTAGACACGTAAGACAGAGACTTGCTTGTTATTAAAGAGAACAAAGTGGCCAAAGAAAGAAACTGTCTTTACTTCAGCAACATCTGTGTCTTGCCACATGTAGCTATAGCAAGACTTTGTGTACTTGCTAAGAGCAAACACAAAAAAACAAAGGAAAGTGCTGGTCATTACATTTCTTTTGTTTGGAGCTAAGGAGACATGTAGCACAATGGGGTGGGGGCTACCTTACTGTTCTAAATAGCTAAGAAAAAGTTATTGAGGAAAAAAATCAGTAAGCAAATACTTGAAAAATGGGTTCCATTTTAGACTGCCATTAAGCGTGGTCCTTCCCATTAAATGTGAACATTTTAATATGTATGCATTCACCTTGCCTCTTGCACAAATGTCAGAAAATGGTAATGTCTCAATGAATATCTGGGTTAATAATCAATTTGCTGGAATTCAGTCTCTGGCCCAACTGTAGCATTTTTTTTTTTTTTTCTCTCCGTGTGTGGCATTTTGTTTGTGCCACAGATAAAGCTGTGCGTGTGTGTGTGGATGTGCGTGTGTACTGTACACACTAGGATGTACTTAGATTCCCATTGCATCTTTTATGCTATGGAATTGTTTACATTGAGCATGACTGAACAAACAGATGACTCCGCCTTCTGCAGCCCGCTGGGTTCAGTTTGGAGACAGCTAAGGATGAACTGCGCATCTCTGCCAGCCTTCTGAATGATAACGCCTTGATGAAATAGTCACTCAGTGAAAGAGTGCAGATACGTTTAATTCTTCATAACTCTGTTGTGCTGCTATTGATTCAGAGCTGTGCATTTCAAATCCAGTGTTTTGGGCTGGAATGGGGGAGTTTTACTGTGTTTCCACAGTGCCTCCATCCAATACCTGGACACTGTGAACTTGAGCCCCTGTACTTCTCATTGAGGGCAGCTAATAATCAATTCACTTGGCAAAGGCCTGTATAACTAGAGAAGGTTACGGTTTTTGCATTTAATAATGCCCTACACGCTGATAGACTCTTGTCAATAAAAAAGAAGAAACATTAATTGGCCTGGCAGAAGCAGTCTGTGAAAACTCAACAGTAGTGCAATCAATTTGTTTTTGTTGTGTAATGTAAGGGTTTTTTTCCAAAGTCATGCAGGTAATGACAATATTCTGTAAATATTATGTGTGAGTTTACCTGAATCTGTGCATTTTGTGCCTTATTCATGCAAATGATAAAAGTACTAAAAAAAAAAAAAAAAAAAAAAAAAAT